ACAAATAGCCCTCAGGGTAGGAAGAAGCATCAGGATTTGAAAATTATTTATGATATGCACAATAGGGGAGGCTCATTTAGTTATTGTACATGGGAGGCAAGGAGAGGGTGATGACAGGAGACACTTCTGGGTCTCTGCACGATTGAACAGGTGATTGAAAGAAAGAATACTGGAAGAGATACAGGGATGTCTTATTACTGTTTATGTGTGTATATCAGGGAGAACAGTGAGGATTCTGATTTTCATTTTTGAAATTTTGGTTTTGAGCTGTTACTGAGACATTTAATAAGAGATACTAAGTAGACCATTGGTTGTGAGAGTGAAAGCTCAGACTCATAGCCTAGCCTGGAGATGTAATTTTTGGGGAGTAGGTACTGGAGGTCAAACTTGGAACCTTGAGCTTGAGAGACAGTCAGTGGCACCACTGAACTAAATCCCCAGCCCTGGAGATGTAATTTTTGTTTTCAGTGCTGAGGATGGAATCCAGAGCCTGGGTGTATTAGGCGAGCACTCTGCCCCTGAATTACATTGTTGGTTAAGATGTAAAAAAAATTTTTTTTAAACTGGGGATTGAACTTGGAATCTTACCCTTGCAAGGCAGGCAGTGGCACCAAGGATATAAATTTTTGAATTGTTTGTGCAGGTAGTACTTGAAAATGTGGGAGCAGGTCGGATTGCCTAGATAGAGATCATTAGTAAAAACAAAAGGAGGTAGGCTGAAGATACAGCTCAAGCTCAACGCTGGGTACCATCCCAAGCACTGCCAAAAAAAAAAAAGGACAGAATCACCCAAGGAAATTTTACATCTAATAAAATAAGTAAAAGAGACATACAGGAATAACTTGAGACACTGGAGAAAAAGGAAGAGAATATATTACCTTAAAATATTGTTTTTTCAGGAAAGGAGTTCGTGTCCAGACTTCTGAAAAAGGACCTGAGAACAGGAAAATACCAATTACCTTAATAACATGGCTGCCATTGCTAATGTCTGTGGTTTATTGTTCTTGTTACAGAAGAAATGTTAAGGTGAGTGGAAAGTGGTGAAGTGGAAACACTGTGAGGAGGGAATGTTAGGGATGATGGAGGAAATCAGAGCTTAATGTGAAGTTTCTAGGAAGGAGGAAGAAGTCCCAGTAAAAGGCTTCCTTGAATGTGAAGGAGTGTTCCACTGTTGTAATTGGAGAGAGGAGAGGGACTGAAAAGACTGGAAACTTAGGTAGATTTGTGTTTGGTATGCGGAGATGACAGGATTGGCTTCTATTTTCTTTTTAGTCGAAGAGAGTAACTTTCATTGAGCATTACTGATAAGTGCTGCAGTGAGATGGCACATGGAGGGACTTTGATGCAGGTGGTAGAAGAATTTAGCAAGATCAGAATAAGATAAATACCAGCATTTAGTCAGATAAGAATACACTGTCAAGAGAGGCAGCAGGTGAGTTTCCAAGAAAAGAACAAGTCTCTAAGAGAGGAATGAGTTTCTGAGAGAGAAATCCTATTGTCAGTGTGAGAGGCTGGGGTTTTTGTATGGGTTGAAGATGTGGGAAGGGGACTGAGTTAGCAAATGTAGTTATCTTAGACATGGGCTTTCTGGGGCATCCTGCTCCTTAATAATTTTTTATGAATTGTCCCATTGTATCTAAAGTTGTACATCAAAGTTATGAAATGGAAAGGTTATTTACTTGGGCCTGAAAGAAGTCCCTTTGTGACTGGGAGAAAAATTAAATTTTATCTCATGTTATTTTGGTCAATGTTAGTACACTTAGTACCTGCCAGGAAAGATTGGCTCGATAGGAAAATTTTGTTGCTAAAAGTTTTAATTATTTTGGTGCCAGTTGATAATCTCTACAATAAGGGTGCCTTATAAGCTAACTGGTGCCTTACCAGCCCGACTCTTCACAGAAGATATATGTATCTACATCATCTATATCCATATCTATATCTACCTTCCTATCTCTATACTCTCAGCAATGGGAAAATAAATAATGGCAACTTAAATACTAAATTGAAGGGGACAACCATGCTGCACTGTTTCAGCTCAGAGATACCCCTGCTGGAGTGTCCTGGACCTTGTGAACCACTGTCCCACAGTTGGTCATTGTAACTAGAGCATGGCTAGCTCCATCTCCCAAATTTCCATCAGAGCTGCAGGACGGAATAGATCAATCTGTCTGACTTCCTGTGCCAAGCCCAGAAGTTAGGGAAGAGTAAGCAAGCAGCAGCCCTGAGAGTGACTCAGCTTGCACCCCCGCTTGTCCCAGTGTCCCACAAAGATGACTTGCTGGTGATTGTTGTCATTCAAGGATGTGTCTATGAAGTTCTCTATAGGGAACAGGAATGTGGACGTTACAGTAGACTTCTGCAGTAAGTCTACAGTCTCCTGTGAGGCACTACAACACAAGTCAATAAACAGTAAAGATGAAATGGGAGTTAAAGAGAATGTGGTCTTGGGGCTGATCAATGCTGCTCTGGGCAGCAAAGACAAGGGGACACCAGGGGCACCCAGTGTTTTATTGACTTACAAGCATGGGAAGATAAGAGGGGAATGCTTTGAAGACATCTAGTGACACAGTGTGAAGTGCCTGGAAGTGTCTGGCTGGGAGCATCTGGTGATGGCTGATATGCAGGCAGGGATGGCTGATATGCAAAAAGGGATGTAAAGGAGGAAGGCACTGTTTGTCTTGCCTGGAAAGATCAAAGCGTGCTGGACTGGATTGAAATTAACCAGAGTCTGCTAATACTTGGCAGATATGTCTGCTACAGTTCTCCTGGGAAGAATGCAACTACTGGGATCAGCGCAGAGGCACCTGTACAAGGGGGTGACTCTGGAAAACAACATCCTGTTATCTATGGGGTATCATTGTACTAAGTCTGATTTAATCTTCAAGTTGGAGCAAGGAAAAGAGCCATGTTAACAAATGCCAAAATCTCTACTCTGAGCTGTGCAGGTAGACTGGGGAGAACAGTACCAGAAAAATCAAGATGAACTTGAAAATGTTCAGAGAAGATATGCATGCAATATGTTTGGAAAACTTCATCTAAGCAAAACCCATATTTCTTCAAAACAAAGACTCCACAAGTATGGCACATATAGGAAAAATATGACCCCCAAACTCAGATTTAAGCAGAAGTTATATGAGAAAGAATCCCAATAAATTTCGTGGTTATGAGGAGTCATATTTTCTTAAATATCAAAAAGTTCATGGTATAGAGAAAACTGTGCAATGAATGTAGCAAAGCTTTTTATTGTAAGTCACGGCTCATTGTACATCTCAGAATCTACAAGGGGAGAAACCTTTTGAATCTACCAAATGTGAGAGAAAATTCAGTACTTGTCAGAGAGTTCACATAGGAGAAAAGCCTTATTTGTGTAGTGAATGTGGAAAAGTCTTCTCTTTCACAGCTCATTGTCCACCAGGAAGTCCACACCGGAGGGAAACCTCATGAGTGCAGTGAGTGTGGGGACTACAGTTGGAAATCTCAGCTTATTTTACCCCAAAAAAGTCACACGAGTGAATCCCAACAAATGCAGCAAATATAAGGAAGCCTTCCAATTTAAGTCCCTATTTGTTGTACATCAGAGAAGTCATACAAGGAGTGAAACCACGTAAGTACAATGAGTGTGGCGAGGCCTTTAGGAGCAAGTCCTTACTTCTAGTTCATGTCAGTATGCATACAGGAGAGAATCCCTATCAATGCAGTGGGAAAGCCTTCAGCATGAAGACAAGTTCATCAAGTGCATCAGGGACTCAACGCAGGAGACAATCCCTGTCAGTGCAGCAAGTGCAGGAAAGTATTTGTGGGGAAGGAGAAGCTCACTGCTCATCTGTGAGCCCGTGAAGGAGAGAAGCTCTAGGGATGCAGTAAGTATGGGAAGTCCTTCAGCAGCATGTCCTTCCTCATTAAAATTATTCACAGGATGATGTCAACGGGGGAGAAACCCCACGAGTGTGACTTGTGTGGGCAAGCTTTCTGTGGGAAGTCACAGTTCATCATTACCAGAGAACTCAATGGAGAAACCCAATGAGTGCAATGAGTATGAGTATGAAAAAGCTTATCCCAGAAAGGCTTTTCTTCAGATTCATCAGAAAACTCACTCAGGAGAAAAATCTTTTAAATTCAGTGAGTGTGGAAAAGCCTTTCCTCAAAATGCTTATCAGTGAACACCAGAGAGTTCACATAGGAGAGAAATTACAGAAGTGCTCTTAGAGTGGGAAGTCCTGCTGGAATTCAGAGTTTCGCATAAATGCATAGGGGGACATCTGAGTGAAAAAGTAAGTGTTAGAAGCTTTCTCACAGAGGCTGATATCCAAAGGCCCTGGAGGCTAGTGCAGACTAAGTTATAGGTAGAAGGTCCTAAAAACAGACACACACCAGTAAGTCAAGTGAGTGAGAGCAGACTTTTCCATGGTGGTGTGTGGTCTTTTTGTTTTGTTTTAATATGTAAATAAAGTAAATAGGACCACAAGGAACTTATTCTGAAAGTTAAGAGCTATTTGTGCGACTTTCCCTAGTTCACACTGAATAAAAATTTTGTTTATTATTATTATTATTATTGGTACCGGGGATTGAACTCTAGTCCTTGCACTTGCGAGGCAGAGCTAAGTCTCTGGCCCATGGTATTCTAACTTTAATATACAGTAACTAGTTATATATATATATTTGATAGTTGACAGTATATCTTCCATACTCCAAATTAAATGCTAAATATAAAAATACTAAACTGATTTTGACTTTAATGATTATGATGATAAATCTGACGCTACCTTGATGGCAAAGAAAAATATAAACTTCAATTAGATCCCGGCCTTAAGAGGACTGACAAATGAGAAAAATAAGGATCGCAATAGGCGAGAATCACGTTACCAAAAAGAAAACCACCTACACACTTCCTCTGGACCGGCTCTCTAAGAGTTAAGATCAACAAGAGCTGGCCATCACTGCTTCCTAGGCAGGCCCCAGCAGGGCCAGCGCGGGAAGATGACGTACTTCCGGCCTGCCTTCCGGGTTTGGTAGCTCAGTACTTGGGGTTGGCGAGATCTGAGGCGGTGGGGTCTTCTTGCTCCGGGTCCGCTGGGGTTGTTAAGGGTGCCGAGCTCCGCGAGTGCGGCCCCCAGAACGGCGAGTTCCTCCTGAGGGAGAAGGGAGCCGCGGGCGGCGGGTAGCAAAGGTGAAAACTGCACCGCCCAGGCTGCGGGGTACGACCCGGAGAGGGACCCGGCTGCCTGTAGGAGCGAAGGCCCAGCGTGTCCCCAGCCTGCGCGGTGCTGCTCACAAAAGCTTGTGGGCTATGGAAACGCTTGTTCCTGGAGCTTCACCCGCATTGTACCCCAGCGCTGAGCTTCAGGCAGTGCGTTTTCTCCAGAGGGCTAATTCAAAGCGCAGCCCCGTCCGGTAGCGGTGAAAACGGCCCTGTCTGTAGAGCCAAATCTTAAGGACACACTTTTGATACCACTTGTGCCCTGAATTTGCTCCTGTTTTGCAGAGTCATTGATCTAAGGGCGCATTCACGATCAAATTTAATAAATAATATCTTAGGGAAAATAGTGGAACGGGAGTCTGTTGCAAAGACTTTTTTTTGGTAACTACTTTGATAGAAACATATTACTTAGCAAAACATGACTTGCTTTTCTCCAGTTCAGGTGCATTTTTTCACTCAAACCCTGGGGATGTGTGAATTTGTACTACTTTCACTTTTATAACGGACCCCTAGTTGCTAAGGGCTTACAGAATGCCAAACCACTGTGATATAAAGTTTGAGAGTCGATCTGGTAATAAATACAGTCAATAAAGGTGCTCTTTGCAGACAATTTGTACTTGGAGATTATGCCCAGTGCTATTTCCTTTCATAATAGATGGTGTGAGTCAACCGACAACCCTGGAGTTCAGTCCTGCTTACCATTTTGTGATTGTGTAAATTTAAGAGGAGTTTCTCAATGCCCGTTTATCTCGAAGGCTTATCTGTAATGTTTTTACAGATAATTAAGATTGTTCAATACATTAGGCTCTTTGTGAGAATTATATGAGAAATATGTGCAAGTTTGGTACTAGGCACACAATAGGCCCTAGTAGGGTAAAGATTATACTGGTTTTTGTTTTTTATATGGATGCCATTGTATGTCCTCTTAGGCTTTTATTTTTGCTCAAGTTATGTTCTTTAATTCTGATGTGAATGCCAAGTCTATATATACAACTGCCTTGCAGTGCTAGGTCAGAGATTTTAGTTCTTTAAAGAGGTCAAGGATTATAGTAAAGTGTAGGCTGAAATGGATGTGATCGGGATAGAAACTAAGAGCAAGAAAGAAAGAGGTTCCTCATTTCACCTTTTTTATTTAGGGGTTATTGGCATTATTAACAGTCCCATTCTGTCTTAATTTCTGGTTACTGTTTATATACATATTTAAATTTCCTTTGAAACGGACTTCAAAGATTTCTTCTGCCAACAGCTGAGTTACTCTTGAAACTGAAAGTGCTTTCTCTTCTTTAGCTTCCTTTGCCTGCATATTGATTCCTTGAAAGTGTTTCTAAGGTATGAATGGACAATGTGTATTTGTATATATTCTATCTTTGCAGCTTGGTCCTTAGACCTTTCATGTGAAGAGTTACAGTGCATAGTAATATCAATTATATAATTTAAAAATGATTCTTAGATAAGTCATTATTTGCATATGGTATAAGATTTTTAGGCAAGGAACATGTTTCATATTTTCAGTACATTTCATAGAATATTGTATGTCTACAATTGTTAAATTGCAGTGGTTGGAGAGAAGGAATAAATTTTAACAAATACTTCCAGACATGACCCCTATTTCCTTCTACAGGATTTGGAATCCTAAACCTGGCTGTGATCATTGTGATGGAGCAAGGACAAGAATTGTTGGTCTCAGATTCTAAAGGCCTCATGAAGAGGGAGAATTTGAAAAGGTCCTTTACAGGTGAGGGATCAAGATGATGATCTGAACCCTTAGGAAATTTGTTAGAAGATGAGCTAGAAATTATGGAGGATAAAACAGGATATTAGAATGAGTCAAACCTTAATTTTCTGGGGATTTAGCTCAGTGGTTCTACTGCCTGCCTCGCAAGCACAAGGTCCTGGGTTCAGTCCCCGGTATAAAACCAAGCAATCAAACAAAAAAACCCTGTCACAAGCTGCTAATTCAGCCTCAGTTTTCTCATCTAAGATTTAAGAAAATGAATAATAATGTCAACAAATATTTTATGCAAAACTCCTGTTCTTAACAAATAGTGGTTGCTGTTGTTATCTTTGTAGTTGCTTATAACTTAGCTGTTGTCTAGTTTTTCACTTAAGATGGGATCCTGTTCCATTTTATCTCCACTGAGGTCCCCTTTTGCTGTGGTATGTCTTACAGGATAGTTTAATACATTTGTTTTTAGATTGATGTCTTCCTTGGCAATTGCTAACAATGGTTCAGTACTTCAGATATTAATAACAGTTGTTAATAAGGACAATAAATTTCTCCTGCTTCTAGTGAACACATACAGTAAAAAAAGTGAAACTAGTTTTAAAAACTTTTATATAGAATAATTCATGAGATTTTACATTGTTATTCCCTCTCTTCCACTGCAATTCAGAATTTTCTTTTCAGGTAGAGATTAGGGAGTATGTCTAGAATATTTGTTTATTCTTGCAGGATATGAAAGTGAGAATAATTTGGGAATTGTTCAGCACAATAATCCTAAGGCAGATAAGCTTAAAGACAGAGCTTCAAAATGGTCTAAAAGACATGGCCCACAAAATTCTAAGCATGAAGATACAAAAGAAATGCTGTTGACATTATCCCAAGAAGATGGGATTTTGGCTCAGAATTCATCTGAGAATGATGGCAAGTCAGAGATTTGGGGAAATTCTACAGGGAAAGAGGAGGAGAAGCCCAATCAAGGTGTAGTGGACCTAGGACAACATGCCAATGCCTCTATCCAGCAGGGGGGGAAACCCTACAAATGTTCCCAGTGTTGGAAAAGCTTCAGTAGTAGTTCTCATTTGCGTACTCATCAGAGGACTCACTCAGGAGAAAAGCCTTATAAATGCTCTGAGTGTGGCAAATGCTTTTGTAACAGTTCACACCTGATTCAGCATCTGAGAACACACACAGGGGAGAAGCCTTACCAGTGTGGCGAATGTGAGAAAAGCTTCAGCAATACCTCCCATCTTATTATCCATGAGAGAACTCACACAGGAGAGAAACCCTATAAATGCCCTGAGTGTGGGAAGAGTTTCAGTAGCAGTTCTCACCTTATTCAGCATCACAGGTCACATACAGGGGAAAAACCATACGAGTGTCCTGTCTGTGGAAAAGGCTTCAGCTATAGTTATGTTCTAATAGAACATCAGAGGACTCACACTGGAGAAAAGCCTTATGAATGTCCAGACTGTGGGAGCAGTTTTAGTCAGAGTTCCAGCCTGATTCGCCACCAGCGGACACACACAGGTGAGAAGCCCTACAAATGTCTTGAATGTGGACGAAGCTTTGGTTATAATTCTACTCTAATAAAGCATCGGAGAATCCATACAGGAGAAAAATCATGTCACTGTGCAGACTGTGGAAAGAATTTTAGTCGAAGTTCAAATCTTATAACTCACCAGGAGAGGCACACAGGAGAGAAATGCTATGGAGGTTCTAAAAATGGAGAAAGTTTGCATCAGAACTGCAGTATGATAGAAGAGTACAGAGGAGAGAAGCCATATAAATGCTGTGAATGTGGAAAGAGTTTTGGCCTTAGCACCCATCTCATTAGACATCAGAGGACACATACAGGAGAAAAGCCTTACAGATGTTCTCTTTGCTGGAAGACTTTCAGTCAGAGTTCTGCCCTGGTGATTCATCGGAGGACCCACACAGGAGAGAAACCTTATAAGTGTCCTGATTGTGGTGAGTGCTTCAGTCAAAGCTTTAACCTTAATAGGCACCGGAGGATCCACAAAGGAGAAAAACCTTATAAATGTGCTGACTGTGAGAAATGCTACACAAGAAGTGCCTACCTCACTCAGCATCGGAAAATTCACATAGAAAAGTCTTTTGAGTCTCCTAAAGTGGTGGATTTTCCTCATGAACTGACTTGGAAAAGCTGTTAGGGGAAATGGCCTACTTCCATTCACTTTCAGTCTCAAATCCACCTTCCTGACTCCCTGAAATTGCTTAGTTTTGTTTGGTTTTGTTTTCCATTACTGAACCATTACAGTTAAGGTCCATCAAACATCTGTAGTAATTGTGATCTAAAGTTTATTTGGTATAAAAAGTCAACCTTTCAGGCCACCAGACTATCAGATCTGTCCAGTGAGAGACACCGATAATAATGAAAGTAAAGGAGATTTTTTTTTTTTTTTGAAACTTAGAAATAGCTTCAAAGGAAAATACAAAGAGTAACCCTAGGAGTAAGCAAAAGGCCATGTGAGAACTTGAAGCTAGGAGTGCCAATGAATTACCTTATTTTTTACCTCACTGAGTGATGATAATTACTAGCTTCAAGTCTTTGCCCAGTGAAATAGTCTTTTTGAACAAATAATGTTATTTTGTGTCTGTTTTATTAAATTTTAAGAGTGATTTTTTGCATGTGTTTTTATTTTCTAAAAATTGAACTGTACTGTCCACTATTGCAGCCTTTAGCCATCTTTAGCTATTTAAGCATATTAGTAATTAACATTTAATGAAATTTAAAATAGTTACTTAGTTGCACTAGCCACCTACTAAGTACTCAGCCACATGTGACTAGAGGCTACTATACTGGACATCATAGAAAGTTCTTTCAAGAGCATTGCTCTTAACAGACTCATATTTTTATTAAGAGTAGGAATATGCTCTAGTGTTTTTTGTTTTCCAAAAGAAAGTGCAATTGAATAGAAATGAGATTGAGTTTCTAAAGCACTAAGTCAAGAGATTGGGTATTTCAGCAATTGTATGTTTATGTTAAATCAATCATATTATCTAGTGATGATCTCATTGTCTTGACCAAAGCCAGAATAGTACGTAGGATCTTGCAATTGGTTCTTTGATTTTTTGACATCTTTCTGTAAGTTTTCTAAAGCCTAGTCATATCAGAAACTGGGTTTTTTTTTTTTTTTGTAATTAACCCACCCACTCTGAGCCAGTGTTCAAGGACAATTTGCTTTTGAACAGCAGGATTCCTTAGCTCTAGGATTTCCAGTTTTCCTCTGCTTTTGATGTCTTTGGTCTGTGGATCTGTTGAGACATCATCCTCTGTTCTATGGGAATGGTCTTTGGAAAGTGTTAGATATATCCTAGTCCTCCTCTCCCATTTTTTCCTACTAGTGCAAAAGGTATATGTATAGGAAGGTCAGGACTCTGCATTGCCCAGAATTTCATCAGTATTGAAAATTATGTTTTTTTCTACCCTTGTATGTTATAAAGAATATGTGGAGATGGATATTAGGAATTGAGGGCCAGGCAGGACCAGTTGTGGCTGCTATGAAGGCAGTAGTTGGTGGGTAATGGATTTGCATGAGTATTATTTACTTCCTGGTTGTGGTACTCTAGATACTGGTGAGGCAGTTGTGTCTTTTTGTATTGTTAAATGATTGAAAAATAAAGCAAAACTAGCAAATATTTAAGTAGTTGGGAGTAATTTTCTGCTTTCAGAAAAGCGAATACATTTTTGGGCATCATTGGCTTTTATGCAGCTGTCACCCATGTGTCTTTTTACTTTTCTATATTATCTCAAGTTATCCTAGATTGTAATATCTCAGGATGAGTTTTTACGGTATTTTTTTCTTATCACAGACAGCTAAGTGTTCAGTTAATGTTTGATAAATAAATTATTGGTTTGCTTTTGAGGCTGAGATTCAATTGCAAGGCAACAGCTATGGGATTTTGGTAAATCATCAGTGGAATAATCTATGGCATGTAAACCACTGAGGCTCAGTTCCTTTATCTATAAAATTAAGATAATGATTGCCTTCCAAGGTTGCTGTAAGGATTAAATAAATGTTTGCAAAGCTGCTAACGCAGTATTTAAAATATAAGAGGTTCTCAGAGGTAATGGTGTTAAGTGCAACAAATTAAAAAATGCCATCCATGTATTTTAAGTATAAAAATAGCAATACAACTCCAAACTTGTTCTACTTGGAGATTGTGATCCATCTTAGGACAAGACTATCTTGTATTTTAAGGTTGTAGACTATAAAAAACATTCTTATTTACTATACGTGTAAGAAGCTAATAACAGCAGGAGGTATTACTGGATTTTTTTTGTTGTTGTTTTTTGTGAAACAAAGGATTTGGTCTTAGCAAAGAGTAGGGTTGGAGATTTAGCTCAGTGGTTCCTCCGCCTGCTTCACAAGCACAAGGTCCCGAGTTCAATCCCCAGTACCAAAAAATAAATAAATAAATAAATAAAAGGAAAGAGCAAAACAGCAAGTGCAAATCTAAATGTATTTGCAGAAGAGATTAATAACAGGAACATATATGTCCTATCATTAACTGCCTGCATTATCTTTTATAACTACTGACAATTATATAAAACCTATTTCACACCCTTGACATGAACAAGAATATAAATTTCACGTTTTTGTATAGATGAAGACAGGCTTTGTTAATGTAATTTGGCTAGAATCCTTTGGATAGAAAATGAAGAAAACAGAAAAGAACATTGTTCCCTTTGATGAAGAACATAACATAGTCAAATTTAGTCCTATTGGTGCTTTTGCCTCAGTTTTATCAGCAAGAAGGCTCTTTGTTTAGCTTTATGAGAAGTAAATATTTGTGTTTGTGTTTTGTGTTTCTCTTGGTGACACAAGGGATTCCATGGACCATGAATAAAGAAAGCATCCTTATTTATAAATGAATATTATTTTTCATCATTTAGTCTATGAATTTCTTTTTGGGTTAAATGTGTTTCTTGTATACAACATTGTTGGCTTTTGTTTCTTGATCCATTCTGCCAGTATGTGTCTTTCAAATCAATCAAGACCATTGAAATCGAGGGTTATTACCAAAAGATAATGAGTTATTTCTCTTGTTGCATTATTTCCCTGTTGCTGATTCCCTTTCTTTCCCTTTTAACTGCTCACCCTATCAGTACATTCATTCTGTTGGACATTTGCCTTATTAGCTTCTATGTCTCTTTCTGGGATGTTGTTGAGAATTTTTTTGGAGTACTGGTTTGGTTGTCATGAATTTCTTCAGGTCCTTTTTTTCATGGAAATACCTTATTTCTTCATCAGTCTGGAAAGATGGTTTTGCAAGATAGTCACAGTCAGAGTTGGAAGTTATTTTCTTGTAGGACTTGAGATACTTCAAGTTCATCTGGCCTTTAAGGTTTGTGTTGAGAAGCCTGCTTTGATTCTAGTATGTTTTTCTGTCTAGGTGATTTGTTGCTATTCTCTAACAGCTTTTAAAATTTGATTCTTATGTGTTGGACATCAGGGATTTTCACTGTAATGTATTGTGGAGAGATTGTTTTCTAATCATGGCTATTGGAGTTCTATATGCCTTGTTTATCTGTATGTTAAATTCCTTCCCATATTTGAAAATCTTTTTTGCTATAATTTCTATAAATAGGTTTTTATTCCCTTTTTACTATATTCTAATTTTTCACTAATTCCAATTAATCTTAGATTGATCTTTCTATCATCTAACAGCTGTTGGATCCAGTTTTCTTTTCTTTCTTTCTTTTTTTTTTTTTTTTTTGTTTGTGGTCAATATAACTCAGGACCTTGCACTTGTAAGGCAGGCCTGATGCCACTGAGCTAAATCCTCAGCCTAAAGAGATCTCGTTTAGATTCAGTGTTGGTAACACTCTGAACATAGGCCTGAGTTCAAATAGGTCTGTGCCTATCCTCATGTAACATTATTTGGACTTGGATCCTTTTTTTTTTTTTTTTTTTTTTTTTTTTTTTTTTTTTGGTAGTGGTGATCAAACTCAGGACCTTTGCACGTGAGGGAGGTGGTGGAACCACAGAGCTAAATCCCCAGCCCCTTGGTAATTTTCTTTAATTGATCACCAGCACAGTTTTGATACTTTGTCCTCACATTGGTCACTTCTTTTTTGTCTTTTTTACATTGGTTGCTTCTGCTGCCCATATTTTCCATAGAATTTTTAAACTCCTGAACTTGTTTGGTGCCTTTTCATGGACTCTAATTATTTTCTATGCTGGATATTCATGTGTTGCATTGCTTTGTTTAGTTTAGCTAGCTTTTTATTAGTGTCTTCTGTAGACATGCTAATTTGTTTATTGGGATGATTCGCTGTTTATATTCTTTGAATTCAAAAAACACCTTATTGATTTTTTTTTTTTTAATGTCCTCTGTTGTCTTTTCAGAGAACTTGACTTTGTATCTTTAGATTCCCTTACTCTCAGTGCCCCTGTGGTTCAGCTTTGGGCGAGAAGGGAGTTTTTAGAGGAATTTTATTGCCTTGTCTACTTATGTTTCTTTCTTTTTTTCTTTTTTTTTTTTCTGTGCTAAGGCTTGTAGGCTGATTCTAGGAGAAGACTTTGTTCCTAGTGTGGAGACCTCTTTAGTTAGTGTCTACTTTTCAGATGTACTCTGGGCATGCCTCACCTTAGGCCTTTGCTTCTGTCCCAGAATCCCCCCACTTCCATTTATTTGGCTAGGGAGGCTGCAGTGCATTTGGCTCAGTACCAGGGATCAAACCTGGGACCTTATTCTTGCAAGGCAGTCAGTGGAACCACTGAGCTAAATCCCCAGTCCATAATAAGATATCTGTGATCTTTTTTTTTTTATACTGGGTATCGAACTTGGAACCTTGTGCTTGTGTGGCAGGTGGCGGCACCACTGAGCTAAATCCCCGGTCTAGGCTGCAGTATTGTTAATGACACTAAGGCCATTTAGGTATTGTCATAGAGAGAAAAACAGATGATAGCAACAGCTCTGTCATCTAGCTGTCGTAATAAAATAAGCAACAATAATAGAGTCAAATACAAACTGTATATTGACATACCCTAAGAACCAATAACGTACTACCTTTCACACACTCCCACCAGTTTGAATTTCATGTATGACTGTACCATCAGGAGGCTTGTGTTACTGGTGGTTCAAATAGATCTAATCACTTTTATCAGTCTTTTTACTAATAAAGTAATTAAAAGTGTAGAAAGAACCAAATCTATTTGCTTGAATTTGAATAATTACTGCTCAAATATAAATATGAATTAATAGTATACCAATTTAAAAATCACTACAGTAGCAGCAAATTTACTTCATTAAATTAAAATAAATTTATTTATATCCATGAATTTCTTTAAAATGTTTTATACATAAAGACAACTGACTTGTGTAGAGTATGCAAAATGTCATAATACACACAAGTTAGCTATATAACATCAGATGATTGAATTCAAACCAGAGCCACCTGACAAGATATACAAATTATAGCCCTGTTGTGGATATGTTAAGCAGAGAAAAGAGATCTATGATTATTGTATAAAGCCTAAAACAAAATATTGACCTATAGTAAGTATACTAAATAGGACAGTTTTATCTCTACCCTGATAAAACAATATTCAACTGTAATAGCATATAGTTAACCATCTAAAGATTCATAAAGCTTAACTAGTTACACTAGTAAAGATAGAGGGTATGGGGAATGGGAGCATGAAAAATGTAAAATTTTTAAAATTAGCAGTGGAAGATGAGATGAGAAAAGTGAAGTGCAGGATCCTATTAAGAAGTAAAAGGAAATTAATGATATTAGCCCAATATAACAACAACAACAAAAAAGAACAAAAAATTAGCAAACTAAATGAAAAACAAAAGAAAAATGAAGGGAAAAATTGAGAGAGAAGAAAAAATCAAGGCAAAATTTAAAAAAGGGAGGAAACCCTGTAAACATTACACCGGGGATTGAACTTGGGTCCTTGCGCTTGCAAGGCAGGCCACTTCTTTATATTTTCAAATGAGTGGTTTTCTGTCAGGTTCTACAGTCTTGAAATCCAGCAGTCCTCTCTGCCCAGCTTTATAGCCTGTGGGTTTGTGCGCATTCCCCCCACCCCCAACTCCAGAGACCCCACTGTGCTGGAAACCCCACACCATGGCACCGGGGATTGAACTTGGGTCCTTGCGCTTGCAAGGCAGGCCACTTCTTTATATTTTCAAATGAGTGGTTTTCTGTCAGGTTCTACAGTCTTGAAATCCAGCAGTCCTCTCTGCCCAGCTTTATAGCCTGTGGGTTTGTGCGCATTCCCCCCACCCCCAACTCCAGAGACCCCACTGTGCTGGAAACCCCACACCATGGCAACCATTCATTGGTAAACAGTAAGCAATCAGACCACAGGGGGATATAAGTGTGGGGGGTGTGCTCAAGCAGACCACTGGATTCTGTTCCATCAGTTTCAGATCCAGCCTCCTTTGAAAGCCACAACTGGCAAAACTAGGTACAGGGCCCCATGTCCTTCCTTGTCAGAGCTTGAACTCAGGATCTCTGTGTAACTCTCAACTCCTCCATGTCTGTCTCCTGTGACTGTCATCCAGGCACTGTGGTATGGTAACACTGGAAATCCTGGAGTGAAGCTGTAGTTATGCTCAGTCCCGAAAAATCAACCCCTTCCCAAAATGGTGCCTGATTATAATCTCTCTGGCAATATGGTGGGCACTGTACTGGGTTTCTTCTCTAACTGTCCTGCTGTGAAGGAGTCACTCTTGGAGTAAAACCCCACAACTGTTTCTGCAGTTTACAAAAGCTGTGAGCTTCTCTTGGAGCTGATGCTGCTGGCCAGGTTTATTATTTCTTCCTAGAGCTGCCTACTCTCTCTCAGGCCATTGGTCTAGTCCATGATTAGGTTGGTTGGCTTGTCAGTATCTGTGTGGACCTGTGCTGAGAACCAAAATTCAGAGCTGGCTGGGAACTGGCAGTTTGATGTGGCCAGGGCACTGAATCCAGAGTTGGCTGGGTGTGGGTGCCATGGGCATGGCCACCCTCACCTAGATACTATTTTTGTAACCCAGAGCCTGAGAGGCCGAATTAATTTTGGTTGAGGAGACCAGTAGATGAAGCCTAATCTCAACATTTCCTCGGCCTTCTTTAACATATTTATTTCGTTCAGCCCACAGAGATGGGCTAATTTGGAAGTGAAAGTCACTGTCCTGAAAGTCTGTGTGTATCCTCACACAGAAATCTTAAAATGTTCTGATTGCTCAGAATTCTAAGGAAATGAAACCTTAGACTTTCAGGCTTTGTAGGACTGGTTCCAAACTGGTTTCAAAATCAGGTTTTATTCATTTACTGGCTTTTTACTCTGTACTCTCATACAATTTGGCAAGCAGTAAATGAGGTGAGGTCCTTAGCATGTCATAGGTATTAAAAAAATAATTGACTTTCTTTCCTGCCCATCTTAATTTTCTCCTTATTTTGCCAAAATATTCTCCAGGCACAGATATGTTTAATCATTTTTTGGATTGAATATTTTTAGCTTTCTAAAATAGAGATATTAATAACACTTGGTTCCTGGGTTTGTTGTGAGGAAGACCAAAGAGATAAGGTAATTTGTTTAGCATTGCTATAATCACTCTATTAGTTGTTACCAATATCATCATAAAGTGGCCCTAGACTGTCAGGGGTTTTAGGATCATCTTAGAGGAAGCCCTCTTTCTTCCAGTGATGTTGGTGTCTGTGAGGTAAAAAAATAGTGCATCTTTTTGTTACTGGTTATCCTATGAGCATGAAAAGACATGAGTAGCAGTGTATAGCAAATTGTTTGAGAGGCCAACATGTAACATTATTATTGTAATATGGCAGTATACTGCCTACCTTGCATTCCTTTATTTCCTTACTTCTTTTTTGTTTTCTGTTGTCTTCCTCTCAGGACCTAGCCTTCTCTGTCTTGTACATCCATATACTAACAGAAATTTAGG